CCGTGGTTATGTCACACTTTGCAAGTGAAGCATGAGGCTGGGGGGATTGCTGAGGAGGGGTCTGCCAAGTGGGGATGTTTTCTGTGTTCAGGCTGCCATCGCTCTTTCTAGATCCTCTCTCGTATGGGTGTGGCAGTAGGAAAGTTGGGGAAGGTGATGTTTGCTTACACAGAGCTCTGCTGCTCAATGAATTAAGTCATCTTTGCTTTGTCTCCCAGGGATTCTGAGAGTTCTACTTCCAATAGGAATTTAGGAAGAAAACCAAAGCAATGTGCTCTTTGGAAGGAAGGCCTTACGGGTCTGCCTTGTGTAGGGAGAAGATGGGGCTTTGAGCTTGTTTGGACAGGAGGGAACTTTCACATAGGATGGCGCTTGAAAACTTCAGAAAGAGAGTAACAGTGTTTCCTACAGTTTGTCAATCTGTCATCTATATTCCTCTACTAGCTATGCTTTGTTGATGCATGGAACTGATGAGTTGATTGGTCTCTTCCTCTCTTTGCTTCTTTGTCTAAATGGTCTCTTTAAAAGCTCAAAGATAATTACATTATGTGAAATGCAAAATACTAGCACTCAAAAAGAGCTATATGGACTAGAGGCAGATCTTTGCATGTGTCTAAAACCCATTTGGTCAAAAGCTGAGACAGATTCATTGGCTAACACACAAATGACGCTGACAAACAGCTCTTAATAGTGATTTAACCATTTAATGGAATCTAAAAAAACTTGAAGAAGACCAATTAATTTCATGAGTAAGAAGGAAAGACAGAAGCAACTTTAACCATTTCTTAAACTGGCATATTCCTCTGCAATTTTGGGCTCATTTTTCATTTACCACGAATAACCCTTTAGTATCAAATGATGTAAACTTTAAACTTCTCTCATAGATACAGAGTTGGCTTAGAAATGAAATGTAAACACCTACAACTAGAAAGGAAAAGGCTGAAGAACTTAAAATGTCACAAGTGCCAATGGTGGTCAAGTTCCCTTTCTTGATAAATATTGACTTTAAAGTACCCATAATAATGAAAGCCAACAAGCCAAGAATGAACTTTCTCCTCCCACTGAATTAAAAAGTTATTTATACAACGCTTTGTAATGGAGAGGTTCAAAAGTGATCACACTGTTGGGATCAACATGTTTTTCCTAGGGCAAAAACCCCTGTATGAGCCCTGGTATTTCAAGGCAGACCACCTCCACGAAGCAACTGATCATATGTGACTATGCTGAGATACTAACGGGACACTGAAAATGCTTGTGACTAATTTTACGGCTGAAAATGTTAAGAGAGAAACCCCAGTCCCTGGTCATTGCTAAAGGATTGCCACCGTCCTATTTGTCAATGTGGGACCACTCTCATGCAGAGGTAGCACTGCACAATAGGTGGAGTACTGGGGCAGGAACCAGGAGGCGTGTGTGGGCTTTCACTCTCAAGAGTTATTTGATTTGGATAACTATCTCATTCCTCTGGGCCACCGGGGCTTAGGCTAAATGATTCCTAAGGTCTCTTCCAGGTCAGCTACTCAATGGTCAGAGCTTCCGTGGTTCAGTAATTGGCAACCTTTACGGTGATAGGTCCCAGCAGGGATAGAGGCCATGGCTAGGACTGAAGGCCATTTCCAACCAGTTTCCTTCCCCAATTTGGAATCAGAATTTAAGGAATCCAATTACAGCAGCATCCGAACTCACATCCTGAACATGTGGAGCGGACAGCAAACAAATAAGATAAACACAGAAAACATCCCTTTCCAAATTAGCAGCCGCCGTCGCATAGATAATTATTTCTTTGGGGTATCTGAGCTGTGGCTGTACATACCATATGTCAGAGAAAATCGTTCAAATCATAAAAGAGCACAAGCAAAATGCAGACCGCACAGATAAAGAAATCTTTGGTATCTTTGGTGTCATCAACACGATTAAAATTACAAATGGAAAAAGTCAGTGAGGTAGCCTTCTTTGGTTCTCACTAGAAATAGAAAGTTTTTCCTTTTTTTTTTTCTTTTTTCTGCTTTTTGTTTTTCTCCTTTTTTGTTTTGTTGCTTTACATACACACAGAGTTCATTCTTGGAAGCAGCTAGTGTAAGGGTTTCTCTTTTTGTTTATGATTTTTTTTTTAAATTTATTTTTCCAGTTTCTGTATAGAAGCCCCGAAATCCAGGCTGGTGAAGCAGGGTCTCGGCTTATGTGTTCTGAATGCACAGGTTCAGGCTGAATAGTCATTGCTTGTCCACAAAATTTGCTCTGTTGTTCTGACAGCAAACAAACTGCAGTGCTCTCTGTCGTTTTAAATAAAAAATATAAACTATACAGTGCACCTTTCACAGATGCTGAATAAGTTAAATAAATAAGTTACAATATGAAGGCTCCAAGGGCCACAATAATTAGAGGTGGAGTTCGCCTGGTACCAGGTGGGGCTACAAACTTAAGTTAAATAATTTAATAAGCGTTACTTAGACTATTTTAAAAGTTAATTTAAGAGGGAAGAATATCCCAAATTCTCTTTTTGTAACCTGTATTTCTTCCCTGTCTGTAACAGAATTTCACTGCTTTATAAAGCAAACTAAACTTCAAGAGTATTCCAAGTAGAATTTTGCATCTCTGATGCACCATTGGTCTAGGTTTTGATAAATAAGTACAAAGAGTAAAATCAAACTAAGGAAGGATGATTAAATACCCAAATCTTATACATTTATGTACTAGAAACTAATTTAAATAAGTTAATTACATTAATGGTACTTAGCTTGTAGGGTCATAACCCAAAGAGACAAGATAAAAAACATTCTGTGGGGCGGGGCAGAGGGTGTCTTCATTTTTTGAATGACAACATGTGTAACTTCTTTTGATAGTCTAAATAAAAACAAAGCAGGAAATTATAACCTCTAAAACTTTCTCATGTTAAAGACCATTTAGATGTGACAAGCATGAAAAAAATCACCACTCCCCACTAGCTAACGCAGTCTCCCCAAGACCGCAGTAGCATTGTCTCAACCCTGGAAACCAGAGTCCACTGTCTCCCCATTGGTTTGCGCTTGACTTTACTATTTTTTCTTCTTTTTCTTTGTTTTTTTCTTTTTGTCCTTTTTCAGGTCTTTGGATTTAGCTTTAGTTATGAAAGATCCAGAATAAAGCTATTCAACCGAAGTCATCAAGCATAGGTGTCATCCTAACACAGATAATTAAATAATATAGAAGGTTTCTTGAAAGTTGAGTTTATCTTGGATATGCCCAAATGAAATTAATTCCAAGTGTACAGGATGAAGATGCTGGGATACTTTTGTTTTCCCTGCATTTTGGTTTTCAATGTTACAATAAATAACAAAAACAATGTACACTGTAAAAGTACCACATACATGTTAAATGATGATTTAAAATTTATTTATTGTAACAGATTACAGTATAAAGGTATGAAGCATGTCTGTACACACTTGTATGTACACAGTCTAGACACCTATAGGTAACGTGTGTTGTTGTAAAGTCATCTATGAGAATACATGTTAAAATATGTATCTAAATTTGTATACATCCAAGCGGACAGACTGTATAAGCTTTAGGCACACTTATCTGCCAAGGTTTATGCTACCTGAAATGCCTGCTGCTAAAAATGGAGCAGAGTGGAAGACTTCTATGCGATGAACAAGCTGGTAGCAATGTGTTTTTCTCCACTAGAAAAGGTATTAGCTGGTTACTTCCAATCAACCTAACTCCAAAACTTCTAAGGAAAGCTTGGGCTCTAGCAATAACTGCTTCAGGCTGTCAGAATCATTTTGGTGTCTGAGAATAATGAGCCTCATTTAAGGTCCTGTGTGATTCACATAACAGCCCATCAGCCTCAATGGTAAGTTATGTGTCTACCTATGTGAGATCCTATATATTTTAATAACTACTTTTGTATTTTATAAGTATTCTGAGACTTTCTAAAACAGATAAACCCTCCCCTCTGTCCCTCCCTGACCTTGGAAACAAAGAAATCATTGATAGAAAATAGGCATCGAGACATCCATATTTAAAGCCAACTTCATTATCTTATGAGACTTATACAACCAACTGGGGTGCCATTCTTCATTCAGTAAGGATTTTTGTGGCCTTATTTTAAAACTAGAATCTCCTGTTGTTTCAGGGGTGACTTAGTCTTAGCTAAAGATACAAAATTACTAATCTATCAAGTTTGGCAGACAAATATCAGAAAGTTATAGATACACCAGCTCTATTCCTTCTTCATCTAACATTTCCACTTACTCTTCCTGGTTAGGCTAAGAAGTCTGAATCACACAGCATCAACAAAAACAAAAAGTCACCTCTAACCTGTTACAAATCTAGAAGGTTATCGCCAAGGTAGTTGTGTCTGGGCCTTGTGGTCAACCTTGACCACATGTATCATCTTTTTCTCCACTTTATAATAGAGTCCATTATTCTTCAACATTGGAAACAGGCCTTTTCTTCTTAGATTTTAAAATATCCAACTATTCAAACTCCTGAAAATCCGAGTTCACTACAAAGGCATACTGTCATCACACTTTGGTAATGATAATCAAACAGACATTCCTATAATTCTACAAACATTTTCAAAAGTGGGGAAGTTTCCCTCTATACCCAGATAACAATGATTTAAAAAATCTGTTCAACTTGAATTTACTGGCACTAGTAGGTGGGTGCCCAGTATAGACAAAGAAAATAACTGATTATCCAAAAGGTATTTATTTTTGGTTTTGAAATAGGTTGTTTGACTTAGAAAAGTGTGTGTGTGTGTGTGTGTGTGTGTGTGTATCAGATTTACATTCCAAATGTTGATTTTATTTTAGCTTGAATTGAAAATTATTTTGGATTTCCTAAAGCCTACAATTGCCGAGAGCCTGCAGGGGGAAAAGGGAGCTTAGAAGCTACTCTTTCTGGATTTCTCCAGAGGAACTGCCATGCTTCCTGGCTCAACTAGCCTGCACCTTTATGCATGGTGCAAGCTAAACACTTCTTTTACATTTTGGAAAAGCTTTTAAATATTGGTGTTGAGTTTTTATTGTTGTTGCTGTTTCCTTTAAAAAAAGAAATGCATTGGCTCTGTTTTGTTTTTGTATTATTTCCTGGAATTAAATAATTACATCCCTAGTACCAAAATCACATTAAAACAAAAACAATGCAAGCCTATCTGTGTAAAGGAATAAAGGAAATTGTTTTTCCACTCAATGGCTGTGAGTATTTTGATTTCTGCTGCCTCAAGAATGTGAAATTTGGCTGAGAACTGTTCCTTCACACTGTCCCTTTTGCTGACGGCTAAGGAATGCCTGAAATTTTCCTTGGATTGAGGTAACGGATCATAAACTATAACCAAATCCAAATGGTTATTTTCTCTGAAATTATTAACTTAAATTTAAAAATCTTTGAGTAAACTCACTGGGTTAAATTGTATTACCCAATATAGAATTTTTTTTCTGTTAGATTTCTATCAAATTGAAATTCTACAGGGCTTAAAATTTTGACACATAACTATATAGATACACATATACATGTGTGTAAATAATTTTCTAAAAGCAAGCACTTCTCTCTGGTATGACATTATCTGGTATGAGACATTTATCAAAGCTCCTTGGGGGGAAATTCTTGCCTTTCTTCTTCTTTTTTTTTTTTTTTGTAACAATTATGGCATGTTCTAATGTCAGGTCACAAAGGCAGCCTCTACTGGTCTAGACATCTTCAGAGGATGCTGGAGACCCAAATGCTGAGATTACTATGTCAAAGAATCACTAACCAAATCAAGCAGGCTCCATTCCTCAATCCAGTCTGGAAAAGAGCAATCATTTCCATTGGACACATGTCACAAGGACTCATTTAGAAATAGTCTAGTTGAAATCAACCCACATGGGAACATTCCTCTGCTGAAATATGCTCTTTTCTTAGTCCTTTGACAAAGGAAACATGGAGTATGAGCAAAGGACAAAGGGACACAAGGGAAAAGCCAAGGAACAATCTCCTAGGCAGGATGAATTATAAAAATTGTGGAGGTCACATTCTCTCACAGCTCCTGCATAGGGAGACCCACACAGCGGGAATGAGGAGGTGGCACAAAGAACAACAATGGGGCTCTCCAGGGGCAGGACTCCAGGAGTCTCCCCAAAACCTGCTTTATATTTTCTCTCCAGGATTGAGACACTCTCCCCCACCCCACCCAACACCACCGCCCACCCCAGTGCCAGCTGTGGTTGCACATAGGCTTGTCAAAATACAAATTGGTAATTACCACCCTGAGGAAATCTATCAACCCATTGCAACAGGAGTTGGACTTCCCCTACGTGAAGTCCCTTTGGTGTATCTGCTCACTGAGGGGGTCTGGCACACCCAGATGGGACAGGGCAGCTCCTGGAGAACAGATTTCTGAGCTGGCCTCATATTCTTTAACTGGTGAAAATGGACCACTGAGCCTTCCCAACAGTTACAGAAGATGAGCACCCCACTGTCAGGGCCCAGTGCTGGGCCGAGCCTGTTGGATGTACTTCACTCACCACCTTAATTGAGGCTGAGAGAGAGAATAGAGATGACTCCGAATACAAATAAAACTCATTTACACCATGGATCCATTTATCAACAGGTTAAGTGCTAAAAAGCTTGATCTTGACTTTATACCTTTCCCAGAAACTTCCATAGAGATCTGAATAATTCAAATCATCCACAGTGGCAAATTAACTCTGGAATGGCATGAGAAATGAGAAAAATTCTGAACCGAATACTTAACAAATGAAGCACTGGACGAAAACAAGACATGAATTTGGACAGCAATAATTTTGGTTATCACCAATGTCAAGTTGATCTATATACGTATTTTATATATTATATATATCTTTCTTTAGAAATGCAACTTTACAGCTGATTTTTAAAAAGCTAATAGAAAAGTAGAAACTGGCAATCATTTTTACATGTTTCCCCCCACCCCCAAATGAAGCCCTGTTAGGATGTAGCAATCACGTGAAAACGAGGCTGTAAATTCCTCTATAAACTCTTTGGTTCTGTGGCTCGGGAGAGGATGCATCACCAAGAACCCTATCCCTGACCCTCACTCCCTTTCCCTCCCCTGATGATGAGACTCTGAACATAGAAGGAACCAAGTCTAAGGGTTAAGCAAAGAACATTCAAGTGATAATGTTATTCCCTATTCTCTGCTGAGCAGAGAACTGTTCAATATCCCAACATCTGAAACTTGGAGTCCATGGAAACTTTTGAGAGATTCCATGTTGGGGTAAAAAACCATAAAACAAAATTAAAGGGAAACAATAAAATCAAATAAATGGCCCTTTCCTTTTGTTGCTCAGAGAAACATAATTGATTACCTTTATACAGATCAATGGCGCTATTAGTATTTTAGCCAGGCAAGAGGAGATAATGAACTGAAACAAAAGGTGTGAGAAATCCTCATCTTTGGTATTGTAGCTGTTGAGGTTTCTGTTGCTCTGTTCCGTGTTCTTTTGAAAAACTGCATAGGCACAAATTAAAGACAATCTTCAACTTTAAGATTACCGCGTGAGTTGTCAAATGAAGCAGCAGCCACTGAGGCTCTTCCTTATTTCTATCTTTGTCTCAACCCTTTCTTTAAAATCTGCTTCCAAAAAATGTCCCAAGAGGTCTGTTTGAACACAGTGTGTCTCGCTGTTTTTTTTTTTTGGTTTTCGTTTATTTTCTGGCGTGCTTCCTTCTTATTGGTGGTGATTTCCAATGATTTACAGATTTATTTATTCATTTTAATGGGACAGTTTTGTTTGTTGCAGAAGTAGGTGCAGAAAAAGTTTCTTTGGTTTCGATTAGGTAATTCATAAAAAAGTCAGTCTCAAGTGTCTGTAAAGAATCATTGCAGCGTTTGGCTTGCTTTGAACACCCCCATGTGGCCCCACCCAGGGCCATTCACTGGTAAATATGCACATTGTGACCTCCGCAATCTCTCAGAGTTCTGTGGGCGCTCTTCCACTTGCTATGGGAAGGTGACAACTGGTGTGGCAAAGCCACTCCCCTGGGTGGCTTGGCTAACGTCCCTGGCGTAGCTGGTCCATTCAGCCCGATGATGCGCCAAATGCCATTCAGAGTTGCAGAGGTTTTCTGATTTCTAAAAGTAATCACAGTATTTTTAGGCTAGAAAATGACAAGTCATAAATGTCTTTGGTTTGCAGTATTCTGCTTCTTTGGTGTGCTGTGTTTTCTCCAGATTTATTCAGCTGTTTTGCAAGGATGATTCAACAACAGAAGAGATTTAGGATTAGATGACAGTCATGAGTAACATGTATGCAGGTTTGATTGATTGATTTCTTTTTCTTGCTAGAAAACATGGAAAACATCCCTACTAAATGGGATGGATGAGGAAAAACCCCAAATCAGAAAGAGTGGGAATGGATTACGTGGTGGTCATAACGCACAGTAGGAGGGACCAGATGACTGATCAACCAAGAAGGACACATTAATGATCTTAAAAAAACCTAGATCTTTTAAAATGCTGCATTTGCTCCATGTACTGTTGACAGTTAAATTGGCCTCCTGAGTGTGCGTCTGCATTATGTACAACAGAATTTGTAGCAAACTGCAAAATGTGCTTGAAGCCATATTCTCATCAATTCCCTAATGACTTCACAATCCAGATGTGGTAAAAATGCAGATGTGGTGAACCCAGAACCTTCCTTACTTCTGTTTATCTTTGTTGTGCTTGATACTTTGAGCTCAAGTGAACTGACTGGTGTTTTGACGGATCCAAGACCACATAAGATTTCCAGGAGGTAAAGAAAAAAAAAATTGTAAGCTGCATCAACTTAAAGCTTTCTAAATCATTCAATGAAAAGATGCCTGGGTTGGAAAAACAGGTCCTTGGATTTTTTTTAACGTCCATATTTAAAACTTGTGCTCAGTAATTACCATTCTGATGTTTTTTATGTTATGGCTGTGAACTTGGACATACCGTGGTATAATGAGGCTAAGCATGTGGAAAACAAATGAGGTCATTCTTGTTGCTAGATTCTTCTCTTATTGTTGTATCTTGGAAGCCTAAACTCAGAGTCCTTACATAGGCCAAATTCCTATTGTTAGTCATAGGAACTCTGCAAGAAGCTGACAGGACCTGAAGTGGTACGGATGACATTCTAAGCAATCCTGAGCTTGGCTGACACCATACTGGAATTAACTTGCTCCAGGAAGGCCCCATTTGGGTTTCTGGGATGCTTAGCATGCTGAGAACAGTGTCTGGTTCTAAGAGATTAATTTTTCAGCTTGCACTTGGACTCCATAGCTATTAAAAACAAAAAAAGAACACCTGGCCTATGATTACAGCTAGAATAGAAGTTTCTTTGCAAGATAATTGTGCTTTCAAATCACCAGTGAAGGGCCCCAGCTAGGAATCCGGTGTCTTTCTCCTTTGTTTTCTTTTGGTATCTGTTGTCCTCATTTGGAGGTGACTTGTGCCCAAGTGAGAGTCTTTCCATCATGCTTTGGTACACGTGCTGGAGGTGGACGAGGAGCCCCCTGTGCTCAGATCATCTTGCCACTTCTCCAGGCTGCGGCGCCGGGCGTTCATGAAGAAGTTGCTGACGGTTGTGAGCTCCAGGCCCAGCTGCTGGGAAATGGTGATCTGCATCTCCTTCGACGGGCGTTTGTTCTCCTTGAAGATGGCGAAGAGTGTTCGGCGTTGGAGGTCAGTGAACACCAGGCGGGATTTCTTCTGGGAATTGTTCCTGTCTTTGTTTGGTTCTTGCTCTTTGCGTTTGCACGCTTGAAGGGAAAGAGAAGAAGGAGAGGAGTCAGTGGGCTCACCCGAGAACGTGATCCATGGAAAACATTGACAAAGTTGTACAGAGAGATGTAAACCGTTAAACTTTATTGTGCAAATTGCCCAGCTGTCAATAACCAGCCTTTCCCGTAATCTCCGGGTGATGGAAGGCATCAGTGAGTGAGTGGGGGATGGGAGAAAGGAGAAAGCAGCAGGGCTGTTTCACAGTCTGGTTTTGAACTAACTGCAGTTGTCTTTCCCTTTTACCTCCTCTCTCCTCCAGCATACCATTTATCCAGAGATAAATGAAATTATTTATTTCCGAAATCAGGTGCCTCGAAGGCAGGGAGGACTCCAGACCCCGGGATGGGGGAAGACTGATGAGGCAGTTCCTCTTTCATATTCACCCTCTCGAATTGTTTACAGCTGAGTTGAAATTACCTTCTGGAGTCAAAACTTAAAAGTGCATAGTTTTTCAAAATCAAAGCTTCTACCCAGGTGACTCTAAAAATTGTTAACAGAATGAAATTAGAAGTGACAGAATGATGGTATTATCCCAACCCAAATTCCTTTCGTCCAGACTTTTGAAAAATTAGAACAAAACAAAACAGAAGACCAAGGGAGAGAAAGACTAGAAAAATTGGTTTAGCCAGTTCTCATTTGGCTAGTTTGAAATCGGAAGCCAGTACAAGAAGACAGGGGAAGAGGGTAGGGGAAGAAGCCCAACACTACAATAGGACTTCAGGCTTGTAGATATGTTAGTATATGTGGAGTCTCTTTGATTTAGCAGAAATGAGTATCCATGCCTGGGTTGACATATGCACTCAAGGACATTATGTGTCACAACCTCTCCCTTAGCCTACAAGTTCCTAGAAGGCAGCAACCGGGCCCCTGTAGTATTCCTGACTGATTCTTTTTGGAGCCATGGATACAATGAATGTTTGGGAAAATGAGGACAAATGACTTCTTGACTCTTTCAGGGAATCTGTACACTTCACAGATGGGTTCGGTGGCTCAGAAAAGTGACCCATAAAGATTAAATACAGTATTATAAATCACAATGTTAAAACATGAGAACATGTGTTACAATCACCTGAAATGGCCAGGTGCGGTGGCTCACACCTGTAATCCCAGCACTTTGGGAGGCCAAGGCAGGCAGATCATGAGGTCAGGAGTTTGCGACCAGCCTGGCCAACATAGTGAAACCTCATCTCTACTAAAGATACAAAAAATTAGCTGGGCGTGGTGGCACACACCTGTAATCCCAGCTACTTGGGATGCTGAGGCAGGAGAATCGCTTGAACCCAGGAGGTGAAGGTTGCAGTGAGCCAAGATCACGCTATTGCATTCCTTGGCCGCATCCAGCCTGGGTGGACAGGGCGAGACTCCATCTCAAAAAAAAAAAAAAAAAATAACACACCAAAAAAAAAAACAATCACTTGCAATACAGCTCCCCCAAGCTCCCCACATCACACATGCCTGTGCTTGAGAATCGTCGGCCCTCTCACACCACCAACCACCCGACCCCCACCCCCCAAACACCCCCCCCCTCCCCCTCACCAAGCTCACCCCTACCCACCCCACCCCAAACCACAAACGCAATAGACCCCACCCAACTAACGACCCTGTGGGAAAGCCGAACAAATGAAAAGCCCCACAACTCCACAGCATCCACACCCACACATCCACAGCCCTCCAACCACACACACCCCCAATCAAAAAAAGATCAACAATCCCCCACACTATCACAAACTCAAAACCCACTACAACACACAAACCACGTCCCATCAAAATAACAGACAAATACACAATAACATCTACATACCCAAAAACAATAACCGTAAAAAAAAAAATACCTCTCCCACCCACCCACCCCAACCCCCGACCCCACCCACACTAACACACACAACACCCACAACACACACACACAAATACACCAAAGACCCACGAACAAACAAATCCAACCCCACCCCACCCCAAAAAAACACAATTAACATAAAAACACCCAAACGACACACCACCAAGCCACACACAGACCAAAACAAGAAAAAACAAAACAACACATAACAAAGCCCACAAAACACCAACGAAAAAAAAAACCCATACACTCAATAGACAAAAAGAACAACACCAAACCAACCAAACCAACTAAACCGTAAAAACACACCACCTCAACCCACAAACAACCCACACACGGCCAAAACAAAAACAAAAGCCCAACCAAACACAAACA